TTTTAATTTTCTACAAATTTACAAAGTTTACATTTAAAACATGTACATAATCTATAATTACAAAACCTAGAAATATTTATATTTCAAAACATGACTATACTTAAACAACCCGTATAAACCGTCAGAATTACGACACTGCCACAGGCCCACAAGGGAGGTCTTACAATCTTGTGACATGATATGATATCCTCTCAAATGATCAGTGCTTGTATTGTGCAGCTCAAGGAAATCCTTGCAAAGCAGCCATTGACCTAACAAGATACATTTGCCCACAAGTATATACTTACAAAATTGCCAATCGTAATTTTATTTTACTTACAACTTGATGAACTGTTCCGCGTCGAGTGATATTGTTTTTTCTCATCCCCAACTACTGAATACCATTTAAGACTAATCCTACCAACTCATACTACATGACAACCCAAATCCATTTTTTAAGAAACAAACAAAGTACTGAAGTATCATCTCACAGATAAGTAGCTGCGGCTAAGTGCTAATGCAACAGTAGTACAGTGCTGGTCCCCTAATCATGGCTAGCTCATACGGGTACTCCCTCCAGGTTGATAATATTTATCGTTTTGGACAATGGCACGGTGTCAAAAAAACAACTTTAACCATTATTTTCTATTATAATATATATAAAAGTGTTAACAAATATATGATCTTATTAAAGTATTTTTTTAAGACCAATCTATACATATAGTCACCATATTTGAAAGAGAAATATTTTGAAAATGATTGATAATCAAAGATTCTAAAGTTTGACCTCACCCTTTTCCGAAATGATAAGTATTATCAACCCGGAGGGAGTAGTTAGGTTAAGCAGAAATGGTCAATGTCTTAGCTAGCCGCTCCATTTCTAGAAACATGGTACAGCTCCAAAAATCCAAAACCATGTTTCATCTCGTACTCATCTCGAGCAGGGTTGGTTGGAGAACGTGTTTGCATTATTAGTTAGTTATTAATCCACAAAGATTTGTGTTTTTTCTGCAAAGAATCTCTGTAATAATCCTCCAATTTTGTCGGGGAGCGTCTCATGGCCCAGTTTGGTTGGAAGAAAATTAAATCAAACCAGACACCGTGTCCGCGAGGGCACACGCCCGAATTTACAATTAGTGGCGAATTAAAATTAAAATGGTTTAGTGCTGATGCAAGTACATAGTACAGCAGCAGTAGTAATTTCCGGTTATGAGAAAAAAAATACTGCACAGGTTTTTCCTGAGAGCTGGGATTGAATTATACTATGAGCGAACGATGATTGAAGTCAAGATATATTCAAGGCTGATATTTTTTATTTTGAAAAATGGGATGGATTAATTAGTGGATAAGAATGCGAATGTACTGAGTAATTGTGACGGTGAATCGTGCAGTTAGTTCATCAACCAATCGTACATATATCACTGAAAATCGAGGTTGAAAAATCAGTATGAGTAGCCATCTTTATGCTCTGTTCTTATAGGGACACAGAGTGAGAGTTTTTTACAAAATCAGGAAGACAGGATGGCTTTCACGCTATCTTTTCACCTATGATCTCGTTATCTGTAGGACTACAAATAATTCATTCTTTTCACTTTAACACCATCCACTTGTTTCCGCATCACGAATAGACAGGCTCTTTTCCCGTTCAAAAAGCAAGAATTTTACGGAAGATTATGCTGATGGCGAAATAATTCGTTCAACCTAAAAGGTTATGCTGATGGCGAAGAGTGAACAACGCCTGTAAACAAAGTGATTATCTACTTGACTCAGGAGAAACGAGAGCCAATCAATGGCCATTATTTCATCAACCATTCCAAGATTCCTCGACAAACACCCATCCACACACACATGTGCACCTCAATCGTTGAGAGATTACACATCGTACAAATCGAGTGCAGATACGGCTAATCATTCATCCTGGTCTCCATCATGTATTCTCACCAGAAGTATTATGATATGGTCTTACAGGTGTCCATCTATCTGTTGATCTAAACATATTTTCTTTGGGCAGGTACAATAACAGTCTATTAGCCAGCTGTAAATATATTTTAATGAGATAAAAAATAAGAGAGAAGAGCAGCGGGCTATAGATCTGTAGTCAGCTGCAGCGCGGACTCCAGTACACACTGTGTGTATGACAGTGAGACCATATATTAATAGTATAGTAAGCAATTATTGTATGAATTAACTATTAAATTAGTTATAGATAAATTGGAGCTAGTAGTGGGCTATACTATTAAACTTACTCTAGGCCAATCGTCCAGCCATAGGCAAATCTAACAACAGATAGATGAACAGTCTAGTACAGTGCAAGGGTTGGTTTGGTTGGCTGATTATTTTACTGTTCCTCGTATCAGCGCCTTGCTTTCCTCCAGCCTTCCTGGATTCCCCGTTCCTTTGATTGGAACTATGTGTGCATGTGCATGAGATTCTTCTACCTGATCGCATGGTGAGCACGAGCACCAAATAGTTTAGTTCGAAGCAAACCCATGCACTTGACACTATTTCACCAAATGCATAATATATATAGAATGCTGCTCTTCCACTAGTTAAGGAGTAACTCCCCCCTACATTTGTATTTCAACATCGATATTGATCCTGCATTTTTTTACTAAAGTTTAGTCGTGTTTATCTTTAGCATAAAAGCATTTGATTAATTAATTAGCTATCGCCATAGCTAGTTATCCATGTTCTCTATTTTGAGGCTTTCTTTCTAGATGTCCAATTAACTGCGCTCCCCCTATCATAAGTCATTTTGATTTTTTCCAGTCAATTTTTTTAAAATTTTATCAAAATGTAGGGAAAAATATAGAACCATTTTAAACACAAATCAAAAATATTATCAAATTATATTAAATATTAGATTTAATGAAACTAATTTAATGTTTTATATGTTGCTAATTTTTTTATAAACTTGATCAAACTTAAAAAAGTTTGACTATAAAAAAAATTAAAACGACTTATAATATGAGATAGACTATATATTGTGCATCCATATGTTTTAGGGTGAACTGACGAGCTTGATGTAGGTAAAAATAAGGCAGTTCTCTACTTCTATTGTCGTTACGTTCATTGCTATAATCCTTCAACATCAATCGGTTGATCATAAGCCCTAGTCGAATTGTTTTTGGCTTCAGTTAGCTACAGATGAAATAGATAGATAGATAGATATTCAAATCAGATGTTCTACACCCTGATCATTAGGTCTGTTTAAACTCTACAAGTCCAGATGATAAGATCCATAAACACATCATTAGTTTTTGCATGGTCGCTTTCCCCTTTAAAAATAAAATAAACCATCTAGTAGAAAACAACATAAATGAAGTGATCTTCTAATAGAAACTTGAAGGGAAGGTAAGATGTCTCTGTCTTACCATGACTCGGATGCAAAACATACTTCCTCCATCCCAAAATATAAATATTTTTTAGATTGGCACGGGTATTAAGAAAGTAGGTGAGAATGATTGAAGAAGGTGTGTGATTGGTTAAAAAGAGAAAGTAGGTGAAAAAGAATGGTTGTGATTGGTTGAGAGAAAAAGGTAGGTAGAAAAATAGCTTCATTTTGGGATAAAGTACTGTGCTAGAAATAGTTATATTTTAGGACGGAGGTAGTAAGCAACAAGCCGACCATATCCATGCTTTAATTCTTTCCACAAGCAACATACATAGCCCCTCCCAGTCACATCATCTTTAAACCATTTTACATCCATCAAATGCTAGAGATTGACTACTTTATATTTTTCAAATGTGTGAAATTCCAACGCTTATTACAACTTCTTAGTTTAAACAACATCAGTGTGGTCCAGCACAAATATTGTCATAGTTATCCAAGAATGCTGCATTAAAATATTAATTAATTTCTTATACGCATGTAACGTATGTACGAAGTAACGTTACTATGAAAAGAGAATACTTAAGATCCTTAAATAAGTTTTGAAAATATAGTACTCCCTCCGTAAAAAAAAAGACAAACACTGTTTTCCGTGCCCAACGTTTGACTGCCCGTCTTATTTAAAAAAATTATGAAAAAAAAATTAAAAAGACAGGTCACGCATAAAATATTAATCATGTTTTATCATCTAACAACAATAAAAATACGAATTATAAAAAAATTCATATAAGACGGACAGTCAAAGTTGGACACGGAAACCCAGGGTTTGCCTTTTTTTTTGGGACGGAGGGAGTACACATTTAGTGTTACTGTGGCACTCAATTATACCACCTCGAGGATCGTGAAAGGATTAATCTAGAATCATTACTATTATATTAATTCATCCAATAGCGAAGCCACCTCTCAACAACTTTTGGGTGACGAGCTGGGCTCGTTGGTGAACACATTTTTCTTTTGCATAAATTAGGCATATATATTTTTTTAAGAAAATACTCAATGTACTGGTTAGTTTTGTCTTGGCTCTGAAACTTTTATAGCTCCTCCACAATATTCATCGGAATTAAAGTGTAATTTTCTCTGCTACATTAAAAGTGCAATCGTTTTTCTTCCATCTCCTTTCCACTATATGTAGTAGCCCTCTTCACGTGTGCGGAACCATAGTAGATCTAGTATTTTATCTTTAGTCCATCTACCGAGCCAATCACCTATTATATTTGTCTAACCTAGCTCGGGTTTTATTTTCAATTCACCGATACAGCCAAGCTCTAATTATATAATTCTAATTATATAATGTTTGTCTATTATAAAATATAGACAAAAAAAACAGGAGAGAAACAATCCATTATGTCAAGCTACCTGGACGGCCTCGGCCTCATAGGGGGACATAGAGGCTATAGAGCTCAGCATCACATCACCCCCCGCGGAAACCACCAAGTTAACCCAGCCGTCCGGCCGGCGTGTGGGCATCGCCTAGGTGATCAGGTCAATCCGGCCGTTTCATACGCGCGACTCCGCGAGCGCGCACGAGACTCCGAGAGCCAACCCAACGAACAAACCCAACCCAACCCAACCAACCCCCCACACGCCTCCCTCCCTCCCGCCTCCTCTTTATATACCCCACTCCGTGTCAAACCATCCATTCCACCACCAAGTCCTCCCTCCTCACCTCACCCGCACTCTCTCCCGCGAAAAGACTTCTTCTCTCGTCGTTGTTGTTGTCGTTGTTGTTGCACTCGCGCGCGGCGGCGCGGTGCCAGAGATGAGGAGGATGTTGCGTTGCTTCTTCGGCGGCGGTGGCGACGAGACGGGAGGTGACGAGGAGAAGAAGGCGTCGGCGGCGGCGGTGGTGAAGAACAAGAAGGCGGTGAGGCGGATGCGGAGCGCGACGGGGCGGCTCCGGTCGCTGTCGCTGGAGGACCTGTCGCGGACGCTGGCGCAGTCCGGGCTGCAGGCCTTCACGCTGGCGGAGCTCAAGGCCGCCACGCGCAGCTTCTCCGGCAGCAACTTCATCGGCGAGGGCGGATTCGGCCCCGTCTACAAGGGCTTCATCGACGCCAAGCTCCGCCCCGGCCTCCTCCAACCCCAGCACGTCGCCGTCAAGTACCTCGACGGCGAAGGCGACCAGGGCCACCGCGAATGGCTGGTACGTACAGAGTAATTCCGTGGTACTCTTTGACGATAATTAGTCGAGTTCGTAGCTAATTAATTGCGTGGTTTTGTCACGCACAGGCGGAGGTGGTGTACCTGGGGATGTTGAGCCATCCGCATCTGGTGAAGCTCATCGGCTACTGCTGCCAAGACGACCACCGGATGCTCGTCTACGAGTACATGGCCAGGGGCAGCCTCGAGCACCACCTCTTCAAGAGTAAGCTTAATCACCCTCACTAATCAATTGCACTATCATTATTAACCAGTAATTGCTATCATTAACTGAGCGCGGTTAATTGATTAATCTTGCAGATTTGCTGTCGAGCTTGCCGTGGGCGACGCGGCTGAAGATCGCGGTGGGCGCGGCCAAGGGGCTCGCGTTCCTGCACGACGCCGACACTCCGGTGATCTACCGAGACTTCAAGGCATCCAACATCCTGCTCGACTCGGTGAGTACTCCTCTGATTATTAATTATGCTTAATTAGTTTTACCAGGTCTATCTTGCACACGTACGTACGATCGGCTCCAATAATTAAGATTTCTTAATCTGCGTTGGTGACTACGACCCGTTCGCCTAATCGCCAGATCGCCACTAGTCAATTCTGAATTTTCTGAATCTAATAAGGCCATAAGCTATACCTTAGCTGCAGGGGCAGCACGCACGTATATAGAGTAGAGAGTACACGATTTGAACTATAGTTTTTGGCCAATCTCTGTCGATTCTTTGTGGCAAACTTTATTAGTTGTGGCGGCCAACTTAAGAAATGGAGAATTAATTAAGTACTAGTGCATCCAAAACTTAAAGAAATGAACAAATTATGTAGGACTACTCTCCTCCGGGTTGGTTGTTTATTTATGCCTCCTACCTAATCGGACAAAAACGTCCGTGTTATTCTAAGCAGATATGTAAATTAGGGAAACGTACGGTTTGGTGTCGATCGATCGCCGGCCAGATTACACAATTGGTTGTTGCAAAGGCTGTTCATGAGCACTGTGGCTACAAAGCCTCTAGAACAGTAAAATTGTACAGGTCAAGCGTTTGTCCGAGCAATTAATTGCAAAGCTAACCACTCTCTTTGACTAGTTAATTACCCACCTAAACAGTAAAGAGAACATTCTACGAGTAAAACACACATGCCGGCCCATGGCAGGTAGCATCGAATTTTGACACGAAATCGTCTTGTAGTAGCAAAATCACACGTGAACATTATCGAGTCTGGTACAGTTTATGTTACACAGAAACATAGACTAAGCTGACACCATATACAAACAAAAGTTCAAATCAACAATGCTACATTAGAGCAGTTACGCATGCTATAAGCCAGCTATAATCACATATCGAGAAGAAAAGAGAAGAGAGAGAAAAACAGCTGCAACACATACTCCAAAATATTATGTGTGTATGAGAGGTGGGACCGGTTATTAATTGTGAGTATATTTTTATAGTTAACTATTGTATGAATAGACTATTAGATTAGTTATAAATGATTTAAAGTTAGTAGTTGGCTATACTATTAAACTTGCTCTTAGCTATAGTTAATTATGATGTTGTGGCTGACGGAGAGATTTATATTATGTTGGGCGATGCAGGATTACACGGCGAAGCTCTCGGACTTCGGGCTGGCCAAGGAGGGCCCGCAGGGGGACGCGACACACGTCACGACCCGCGTCATGGGGACCCACGGGTACGCGGCGCCGGAGTACATCCTGACGGGGCACCTGACGGCGAAGAGCGACGTGTACAGCTTCGGGGTGGTGCTGCTGGAGCTGCTGACGGGGCGGCGGAGCGTGGACAAGCGGCGGCGCGGGCGGGAGCAGAACCTCGTGGACTGGGCGCGGCCGTACCTCCGGCGGCCGGAGCGGCTGCACCGGGTGATGGACCCCAGCCTGGAGGGCGGCTACTCGGACAAGGCGGCGGGGAAGGCCGCCATGGTGGCGTACCACTGCCTCCACAGCGTGCCCAAGTCCCGCCCGCACATGCGCGACGTCGTCGCCGCGCTCGAGCCGCTGCTGCAGACGTCCTGCGGCGACGTGCTCGCCGGGCCCTTCGTCTACACCGTCCCGTCCGCTGCCGCCGTTGTTGTTGCTGCCAAGGACGACGGGAAGAAGGCGGCCGCGGCCGCGGGTGAGGACGGCGAGGAGGAGGTGGCGGCGGCGGCCAAGGCGAAGAGGAGGTACGTGGCGTCGGCGGTGCACGCGGAGGGCGCGATGCGGAAGGGGGAGCACCGGTACGCGAGCTCCGTGTCCGGCTCGCCGAGGCAGAGCAGGGACAGGGGCGGCTAGCTCAAGATTTCAACGGTGGATGCAAAGTGCGACCGCGGCAGGGCGTGAATTTGCCTGTTACTGCGTGTGTGCGCGCGTGTGAGCGTGTATTGTTCGAGATCGTTTCAAGTGTACATAATAGTGGTAACATATTTCTACGGTGGATGCAAAGTGCAGGAGGTGCAGTAACATGTTCGTTGATTCTTTTTCTTGGTGATGCTATTTTCGATCCCAAGAGCAAAAAATGTAATATTGCCTTTTGTTTTCTTGAGGAAAATGGTGTTCTTTTTTTCCCTTTGTTTTCAGCTTGTACCGCTGAATCCCGGAAAATAATAAATGTGAAAAATGAAAAGAGGGTTCAGTCAAAAGCAGCCATTCAATTGAAAAGAACTAAACTTCAGTTCTACTGCTATAAGTACGATCCAGTTATACAACTCATATATAGGGGTGAAAACGGGGCGGGTATTTCCCGCCTGCCCGCCTGACCGTATTATTTCGAGACAATTTCGGGTCAAAAATTCGGGTACCCGGAAGTTTTTACGGGTAGCGGGTTTGAATACGGGTATTTTCTATCGGATATGAGATCGGGTTTGGGAGGACGGTATCCGACGGATACGAGTTATCCAGCAAAAATATGGGTTTTACCCGGTTAAATATCCGGATAATACCTAGATAACATGTCTAGCCCAATAAAGCACTAGTGGCCAAAAGGCCCACTAGTACAATGACCACCATCAACCAGTAAACCATGCCTAACAACCCAATAACCAAAAATACTAATTACTGTTCACTAATCCCATTGAGCAATGATGCCGAGACTACGAGCGCCACCGGTGCGCCACCTGCTGCGTCCGCTGAGCCGCGGCCACCGCCGCTACATGCCTTTGCTGCCAGAGCCGATCCTCATCTCTTCAGGAACAGGAAGTTAGCAGCTCATCACATGTCAGGCCGAGTTTAGTTCCAAATTTTTTCTTCAAACTTTCAATTTTTCCATCACATCAAAACTTTCTTACACGGCTACACACAAACTTTCAAATTTTCCATCACATCGTTCCAATTTCAACCAAACTTTCAATTTTTCCAGTTAAAAATCAATTGTTCATTGTCGTATTGCCCGTACATCTTAAGCCCTAATAATATAGTCGCATTATGGTTATATGGGGTTGGTTGAATATATAGCTATTATCTATATAGTATAGATGATCGTTGCTTTGACTTGATATCCGAAAAGATATTCGTAACCGATAGTGGTCGTATCCGTCTTGGTACGTATTCGTCTCATATTTGTGCCCGATATTATCCGTGCTTGTATCCGTATTCGATACTATCCGTATCCAACCCGATTCCGATTATAAAATGTGGGTTCGGATATGGGAAGAGTGAGATCCGACCGAACCCGACCCGATTTCACCACTACTCATATATAACTAGAGATATGCAATTATATAAGGAGAGCATGTTCATATACACTGTAACTGTTTACAACCGCTGATCAAATTCAGTTGTACGTGAGTTAAACAATTGAGTCGTATGCATATCAGTTTTCCCGCATAATACTACATGTCCATCGATGAACATTTCTACATTAGTCAGAAAAAAACGCACAATTTAAGGGATTGTCTTCCCTGGATATTTCTGAATACAAACAATTCCCGTTATTTCCCAACACTTTCACGTACATTTCACATTACCTACGACAGATTTTGCCACAGATACATCAGCGCACTCGCTCCTTAAAACCCATTGCAAGTCTTTTTATAACCGTTATAACAGTTATCAAATAATCCTAATATGTTAGTGTTGACTACTCCATAGCCAGAAAAGCTTAAATTTTAAGATGCAGGTACCACTAATCGGGTAATGGCAGAGGTATACTAATTGCGTTTTTTTTCCTATTCTCCTTTTGTTTTGACGAGCCCAAAGGTAGTTATGTTTTTGCCAAACATTGCACCAAACATCAGATCACGAGTAGAAAACTAACGCTACAGAACATGGATATTTTTCATAGCAAATGCTTAACTGTCTCTACAACACTATGTACATCTGAAGATAGGACTGGTGGACAACCAGGGTCCACGATTGTTTAATTTTCACCGAGCAACAATTGTTGCTTTGAAACGACATCCTACCATTTCTGTTACAACCTTTTCACCCCGGATAAACTTAAGACTACAAGCCTAACAACCATACAACAGTTCAAAAGATGAAACCCCACTAAAAACTGGGAACAAAAATAAACGAATCTTCAAGGCAACCCCAACCATACTATTAGACAGGCTGTGGATCATGATGCTTGACTAGGAGCTGTACTGATGGATAGTGATGAAGCGATTCTGGAAATTCTACATCTGCATAATCTATAGCAGGGATGGCCATTGACAAATCCTCTGTAGAGAACGGTATACTGAAAGAAAGCATCACATACAAGGGCAAATTAACAGATAGTAAATCATGTTCTGCAATAAGGATAGTAGTGATTTACATACACAAAAAGGCTGATTCTGCTGTCTAAAATTTTAACCAAGAAATCACGCATACCTTAAATCATCATCTAATAAAAAGGAATTTGATACGAGATTCTGAGTATATTTGTTTACTTCCTCCCTCATTGCAGAAACAACCTGCCAGATCCCGAAATTCTCAGAACAAAAAAGCATAGTGAATCCCCAAAAAATGGAAAGCCTCCAATCCAAAAGTGATTACCTCATTCGATATTCCTTGGGTATTGTATTTGTCGTCCCAGTACATTGAGCATATCCTGTATATTTGGCGTACACTCAAGTTCTACAAAGAACAAGAGCAGAAAATAACTAGTTGAGGTATGGCATAAATAATGGATATGCACAAATCGGAGGTCATACATGCAGCAAGTCTTACCGGGCAAAGATCTTGCCTAATCTCCTCAAGCGTCTTCTTCCTTTTTTGATGTATGACCTGTGTTATGCAATTAGTGAGATGTTCGGCAGGCATACAAAAGAAGCACAGAAACATGGAAACAAATGCAGCATGCACAAGAAATTACCAAAAAACCAACAGCTTGTCTGATATAATTTAGCTCATGCCAAGATGTTCCTGCAAACTGAAAGTACAAGGATAATAAACTAGTAAAGCAATGTGAAAAAGTCAGAGCACCGATAAAATGTATAATAATGTTGCTTGCTCCTAAGTTCCTAAAACACAAGGTATATAAGCAAACTGGGAACAAATATAGTGGGATAAGCTAACAATTTTATCAGGCCTTCTCATAGTCCATTCTCAGAGTGCAAAACAACTTCACAAGCAGAATGCAAACACCTACCTCATCCGTGGCATCAGAAATCCATTTCTCCAGCAATGACAGCCCGGCTTTGACATATTCCCCATTGGAGAAAGTACAGCATTCGCGCCGAAGAAGAAGGCTGATGGAACAATGGGAACAGGACTGTTAATATCATTACAAACCATATGATTTCATCATTTTATTTTTACCTATAACTTTATCTCAAACATAATACAGTAATGATTTTTCCCAAAGTAATTCTACCACCATCTCCGATTTTTCCCAAAGTAATTCTACCACCATCTCCTATTATAACTTTTAACCAACAGAATTCCATCAGTTCACTGTCAAAAAGGCCCTTTGCTTATATCATAAATAAAAGGTGCAATGATCACGCTATTTGCAAAACTAATGAAGACATAATTATATCATCCAAGGAATAACTACCCATTCAATAACATCGATTGGTTACCATGTGCAAACTGTTTTGTTTGCTTGTATGTAAATGTAACAAGGATAAATTTAAAAATTGAGGAAATTACCTGTTAAAAAGCTGTATATTTATAAAAGAGAATAGCTGAGTGATAAGTTTACGTATAAAGAATGATGGCACCTGCAGCAAAAAAAAATAATAATAAAAAAGAATGATTCACCCCAAGAGCCTTTAAATCCACTGATGAAGAAAAAAAGCTTAAGAAAATGCTCACATAATTTGCATGCAACGTGGACATAAGCAAGTCCAGAAAATTGACAATATTGTCCCAATGGGAGTTTGATGGTGGTTGGGCACCAACCCCAGGTGGTTTGGATGCTTTTCCAGGCTGTGCACGTGATGATTTTGGAGCCTGCATGAAAATATTCAGATGGGAGCCGGTGTACTGACATATCTAGGTTTCCAATGTATCTATTTGTCGTCCAGATTTTAAAGTGGATAAGTACCTGAATGCAGACACTAAGAAGTGGTGATATTTCCTTTTTCAGATTATCCCTGAGTTGCCCAAAAATCTTTTCAACACATGCAGTTAGTTGCTGTTTGAATAATATGGCTGGATACCGAGCATCCACTTGTCCAAGAGTATCAATGCGTCCCATAAGCTTCGAAGGAGATCTGAGTGTCTGCAAGAAACAAAACAGGAGCCATTTCAGTAACAGAGGGAAACAATAATTTTATCGTACCCGAATTTTCGAAAAAAAAGGAAAATAAAAATTGCACAACAAATTTCTATACCAGCAAAACATGTTACTGGGCTTATACAGTTGTGCAAATTAAGAATACTTGAAGAGCATGATGCCATGATGTTTCCATTTCCCCCATTATGGGAAGCGTATAGATCCTCTACAGGTACACATGATTTACCAGATCTGCCCCAGAACAGCAGAGTGGCCTGTCAGAAAGGAGGGAGGAGGAGAACCAGCACTTTCACCATGACAGTCCAACCAGACCAAATCTGATTGATGGCCACTTTGAAGTGGCAAATCCAAAGACCTATGTTAAAACCAGGTAGTTTTGGCGTAACTGACGGCATAGACTAATACAACTGCTGGCTAGCTCCACCAGCTTAAAGATTCCAAAAATGTGTGCTGCATCTGCCTGGTAACCAACTAAGGTAGCTACTACTTATTCCAGTTGAACCGAATAAGCTATTTAAGACCTTACTAAGCACCGTCATGCTATTGTTTTTGCCGCTAAAATGAAACCAGGGGCCCCATCAGTGACCAACAGCTTCAACCAGTGACCCAATACGTTGAGTTGTTGACTGGGTCAATAGCCAGGTCATGTCCAAAAAATATACAGACATGATAAAATAATGTAGAGTTAAACTAGGACATTGCTTTCAAAATATTACTTCATATGGATATCAGCACACTGAGCATAATTCAATAGTACTGGTAAGAAAATGATCCATAATTTTCAGGGTTCCTTACTTGCACTATCTTGTCACCTATCCCTAGAGGTCCACCAGACCGGCCGGATGGTGTAGCAAATAATCCATTTGACCGTAAATTCTTCTGCAGAAGGCATAGCAATGCAGAGGTATTGGACAACCAATAAGGTAATCTACCGTCAGCCTCTTCCCCCTGGAGTAAGAACAGGAGAACTTCCATGAT